GCAGGAACAGGTGGTGCTGGTGCTGAATTAAGCTTGTGCTGCTCGGCTGGTTAAACAACTGTGAGGTCCAGTACTTACCATAAGGTGACTTTTAAGCTTTCAGGTGTGTCTGCTGCAACAGACACCTGCAAAAGTTCATTTGTAACACATGCTAGTTATTCCCATGGTGAAACAGCAAACTCCTTTGCTCTTTTAAAAGAAAAAATTTATTGTTTCTTTAAGGTTAATTTTCTAGCACAGGCTTTAGTTTGCTGTGACTTAAATATAGCAGTTTTCATTAACCCCACTGTTGCTTTAAATAGATCATGCTGGCTGGCTGTGTACTGACATGTCTGGCTATAGTCCACCTGCCATTTGTGCTCTGCACCAACTTTTAAATGAATGCTCTGATTATCTGTATGTCTTCCCAGATATTGATTTTATTCATTGACGTTGCAGTATAAAACTATTAGTAAAGCTAAATCCTTGTAGGATTTGTTTGGGCCTGAGGGCATTGTTTGGTATTATAAACCATTTCTCAGTATAACTTACAGAGGCCTTCACATTTCTGGCCTGTCACAATAAATGACCTGAGAATTGGTTCCCTGTAATGGGGAGGGTTGTTTGACTAGCAATATCTCCTGGATGGACAGATCAGGGTTTCTGCAATTGTGAGTGCCTTGCACAGGACTGACCTGGGTTATTCACCATAATTATTACTTTAGAAAGGTATTTTGCAGCTCCTGCCAGGGAAGATTGAGCATATATCGTCTACAGATCAGGGAGCAGCTGCCTGTCTTGCCATTATCTTTGACACCAATAGGATAATGTGTCCCAGGTAGCCTGTGAGTTAATTTCATAATCCTATTTTTACACAACTTTGGCTATTTTGTTCAGACGAACTGCTAACAATATCATTTTTTCATTAATTAAGGATGCTGCCTTTTCCAAAATGTCATCCGTGACTTTTTTTTGTTCCCATGACATACACGAGCGTATAAAATCCCCTGGGAATTTTAACCTTTCATTAAAGCTAACCTTTTAATCTACTTCAGTTCACAGGTAAGTGCTTAATTGCACCTTCCAGACAGATGTAAAAGGATGGGCTTCAACATGAATATAAACTCTTTCAGGAGTGTAACTGTGGTCGCTTATTTGTATTATAAACCAAAATCCCTGGCAATGAGGGAGATCTTTCCACTAGATACTATTTAAAAATTCATGCTAAAAACCAGAAGTTGTTATAGAGCTACTAATCTAAATATAGACCCTCCAATTTGTTTGTCTTCTGATGCACGAGATCCCATAATCTTGGTTTCATGAGAGAGAGATGTGTGTCTCACAGTGAGTTGTATGGTAGATATTTTTGATCGTTTAAGGAAAGAAAGATTGTGGAACCAGGGGTGGCTGTGGAGCTATGGAGCAGGGGAGCAGGGGACTATGTCCCTTCCTGTAGCTTCCTCTGGCAGGAGGTGGTGCGTGGCTATTTCTGGCCACATGACAGTGCTGTGAGCGCTCTTCCAATCTTTGACCCCCCCCCATCCACTAAGCTGACAGCCCAACCTGACAGGCAGGCAGGGCCGTGGAGTGGGCCAACAACCACAGTACCGATAGTGCAGCAGGGGAGTGGGAGCAAGGAACCCCTTGGGTGACCCTCCTACATAATACATGAGACTTGAAGAATTTCCACAAGCATTTAGGGAACAATAATTGTTTTATTATGATTTTGACTTGCTTGACAGCTAGGGCCTGACTTTTGGCACACCAGGAACTGAGCCCTGATCCTTAGCAATGAAATTTTTGTTTATGCAGCACTTTTTTCAGCAAATACATACTTACATTTACTTTCTCACTCTTGGAAAAGGACAAAGAAACGTAGAGAAGTCACAGAACAGCTTGTACTTCTCATCATTGCTTAGAGTGACTGACTGCCATTCTGGAAGCCCGTTTGCAGAGAAGCAAGTGGACCAAGAGCTTTGGTGGCAGGGGAGAAACCTTACACGGGCATTGAGGGCTGAGCCATTTCCTGATGTAGTCAATTAGAGTCAGTCCTTTTACTTTATGAAGCGTCTACCAGTCCTTAGGACTTTCAGTTTGTAGAAATCAAAGCTGCCACTCCCTTTCTTTCTCCAGTTCAACTGAACAGTGAGTGTGGTAGGATGATGAGCAGCAGGAACAAACTGGTTGACTTATTCTGCAGGCAACAAGTTGTTTTATTTTATGAAGTAAAATAAGCAGCGGAGAAAAGGGATTGTTACTTCCTAGTTGTTGTAATTATGTAAATTAGGTAATTATTTCCTGTGCTGTAATTATGAGATGGATGAGTTAGCACAAGTACGTATGCAAAAGAGACTATTCATATATCAATACTGTTGATTGGGAAGGCGTTCACTAATGTGTTTTTATACTCTTACCCATCTAGCTCAAAGCAGCAAAGCTGTTTTTGAGCTTCACGTGAAAGTCCGTAGGGATATGAACACGTTAGGAATCATGTCACAGAGCAGAGAGGAACTGGTCTTGTGGGTGGCAGAAGCCTGTGCGGTAAAGGGCTTGGGCCTCGCTCCCTCCTTTCTCACATTTTTTGCAAAAGGGTAAGAGGACAAGATGGACATTGGATGCAAAAGGTTAACATGCCTTATTGTTGCAGATGGAAAAGGACAGCAGTGTGATTTAGAGTGATTTAAAGACCATCTATCTACAGACTGCTAAAGCAGGCAGTATTGTTAATGTTGGCCCTAACTCTGCTCCACTTCACTGAAAATCCCACCATGGCTACTAGTTCCTTTGCTTTCTTTACCAGCCTCTGCTGTACAAGCATATGAAAATAAAGTATGAATGCACTATTACAAGTATAACAAACTGTCACACTTGTGAAAGATAGTTACTATATTCTAGTTTATTGACTGCAGTCAAGTTTTATTATGCCTCAAATAATTAAATACCACAACAGTGACATTAAAAATACAGGCTGATTTACCAAAATAATTGTATTCTGAAGATTATGTACATATTATACATTTTACAGTATCATGTAAACTTTTCTTTTTTATACATAAGGTAAATCTGATTTACGGTAACTTGAAAACCTAAAGTACTTGCCGACAAAAATATTCCTATGAAACATAAGCACTGTTTGGGACATTTAGGAAAACTGTGGAGAATGAAAACCAACTATAAAACATAATATAATTGAGTTAGTTAAAAAAAATTAAATTACATTCATATAAAAAGTTCAACTAAAAACCTTGTTATGCACCATTATTAAAAAGGGGGAAACAAATCCCCAAATCCTCCCCTTTCATATATTAACACACACTTTCATGGGGAGCTATTGTGTGCCTCATTTCCAGCAATGGGGCATAGCCTAGGAAATCCAGATTCCCATTCTCCTTTTAACATATATTAAATAGCTAGGGTCTGTACCAATACAAATATACTATATATTCATGCACTGTGATTATGTTCATAGAAGCCTACCAAAGGCCTGGCTTTGGTTGGGGGCGGGGAGGGGGAGAGGTTTACCCCCTTACATGTAGGCATGCAGTGGTAGAGATGCTTACTGTTCTAAAGTTGCATGGGAATTTGTCTCTAGTCTGACTGTGAGCATTAAGCACAATAGAAGACATAGGAATCCTTCCAGGTTACCTTATTTATTTATTTACAAGCCTGAAGGCCTTACTACAAAGCTTCTTGCACCAATCATGTCAACTCAGTTAAAACGCCTTAACCACCTCTACAGTCTCCAGAAAGCATGTCACTAAGGTGATGTAATTAGTCATCTGGGCAAATATTTTATATATTAACTAGGACGACCAAGTTGTTCCTCCTGTAAGTCTTCATTCACGCGATAGCTGCAGTGTTTAGAGTCAGCATAACGGAACTTCAAGTCTAAACGGCTTTCTAGCTCACGTCATCTCAGCATACCATCATTTACATTATCTGCTATGTAGTGCATGTAATTGAAGTACCTAGGTATGCTCATTCAAATAAATGCATGATTTAACTGTATATGAACAGCTGCTAGATTGACTGTATTTTGAAAGCTTGTAAAACTTGCGTATTTTATAACTGGTCTCCAACTACAAAATGAAGGCCTGGTCCTGGAAATAGGTGGGCATGCGCTCATCTTCAAGCATTCGAGTAATCTCATGAGATTATAACCAATGAAACTATCCGTGGCGTAACGATAAACCTACATAAACATTGCAGATTGGACAGGTAGTGTGGCCAGCCATTAGTCATGCAGGTAGTGTCAAGGAAGACAAAGAGAGTTCAAGTGACTAACGTTTGACTGGACTTAGGCACTAGATACCTTCCTTCGGATGCTAAAATTTACCTGAAATCGCTTTGTCAAACTTGGACAATGTGAAAGTGTATTCCAAAATGGCCTTTTAAAATATTCCCAGAATTATGAAACATGAGACCTATATGATGTCTGTTCACATACAGCTTTAATATAAAAGGAATGCTAATCTAGAGTATCAAAATACTGTATTCGTATAAACCTATGATAGCATTTAATAGAAAAGTAAAAAGTGTAAAAGGCAAACATTTTTTGGAATTAGATAGCCTAAAGGAGTTCTTTTAGATCAGGAATATGTCTGCTGCATTTGACCCATAAAGGAGAAGGGGACTACATTTCCCCTCGTCTACGAGTTTTTGCTGCAATAGCTCCACCTTCATCCTCTTCTTCCTCCTCTTCCTCGTAATTGTCTTCATGAACTTCTTTGTGGTTGTTCTCTTCTTGCAATTCTTGCTCTTGATCTGCACCATTATTTTTTTCATCAGCCTGATTTAAAAAAAAAAAAAAAAAAACAAGTGAGATTCAGTGCAACTGACAGTTTTCTTAATTTTGTGGTGATGAGGTGAAGTTAAAGAAAAAAAATAAATTGACTGTTCTTAGAGCTCTTAGAGCTGATGGAGAAAAACAGGAAAAGCTTTCCAGATGTTTAAGGCTGAAAGTTCTCCAGAAAGCCTGAATGAATGTGGGGGTGGAGGGATGAACAGAAGGGAATTGGGATAGTCTGAAATTTTAAGATCTATGATCAAAAGCAAGCTACAGCAATTACTCTAACGCCAGTGTGACATGATCACAGCTATGTTAAGTGTTTTAAGTGTTGTCATGTCATTAAGTTTGTGGGTTTACACAGTACTTACATTTTCATCATTTTCGCCATATGGCTCTTCAGCATTGCGTTCCAGTTCTCTCTTCTTCTCTTCAGTCAAATCTTCATGAATCTACAAGGGACATTCTGTACATTTTACTTTTCTTTAAAAAGTAGCCTGTGGCATAAGCATGCACATTTTCCACAACTACACTTTCATAGAATGAAGATTCAAGCAAATAGGTGGAGAGAGCATGGAGAGGTTAAAGATGGAGGGGGGAACCCACCCACACCCAGGAAATTCAATTCCTCTGAAAGCCAACTTAATTGTTAACTACAATTTTCACAAACTCTCTCATCAGCAGCTAATACATTTAGATTTCTATTTTGTTTTGTAACTTTAGACATACAACGTTATTTTCTCCTTGCCCTTTATAATACCATTGTCATGACACAGCAGAGTCATTACCGACACTTCCACCCCACTGTGGACTCCCAGAACTATGGGTCAGTTCTGACGTATGATACAGGTATTTATTTGCAACTTCCTCCATATTTTCCTAGAGGTTGACTGATCCTGCCAGCTGCTCCTGGAAAATCACAGAAGAGCAAGCGGGAATAGGGAGTGAAGAGTAACCTCTTCCAACCTTCTCGCTGATGATAGAGTGATCCACACTTAACCTATTTTCCAGGTCCTGACCTACCACTTTTCTTTCGTAAAAGCCCTTTCCCTCACTTCAATGTCCCTTTATTTTTAGGTGCAAAGTTGAATGAAGCATGCTTTGTAGAAGTAGGCTTGGATTTTCTGTTGGAGAATGCTGAGTTGTTATGCAACATATGGTCCAAATGGTGTCCTGCACGTTGGGCAAGACACTTCCATGAGGCCTTTTGTCTGTCCCTGTGGAAAATAGCCATTTCATCTGGTCGGGAAGCATTTGCTACTCAATGCTGCCACCTATGCCTGCCACAATGTGACAGATGGTGAGGATGTGATTGTTGTTTTTGATAGGAGTCCCCCCTGTACCAGCTGCTATCACTCCTGAACAGCAGCAGCAAAAGCTGAATACTCTCTCTTTCTGTACCAACTTCCATCAGTAGCAGGAAAGTGTATTTAGCAGTTGCTTCCAACAAGAGGGAAGGCTGCTTGCAAAAGAAGTGTTAGGGGTTTGGTATTGCTGCCAGCAGAACAGCAGCTATCAAACTTGTTCATATCTTTTCCATATATGCCTCAAAATGATCCAACAACAATGTATAGTTTTGTGGTCTACTGAAGAAACTATTCCCAATTATAACAAATTAACTCATTCTTGATTGCTCATTCAATCACTGACCATTCTTAATATTTCCAGTTAGAATACTGGTTGTAGTCCTTTATGAAATGCACATCAAATTATTTCCTATAAGCCAAGGAGTAATTGCCAAAGGCAAGCTATTCCTGGTTTCCAATGACCTGGTTTGATTTAAACAACTGTATTTTGAACTAGTGAATTCTAAGTACACCAGCTAATCTTGACAAAGCGTTCATCATAACGCAGTAATGAACAGCCATTTCTACTGCTTTTTGTAAATCATTATGTATGAAGTAGGAAATAGCAATTGATTAGGCGTGTACTAAGGAACTGCAGAACAGCATATGCTACTGCACGCATGATTAGCATGCCATTCAACATATGAAGGAAGAAATCCCTCTCCCCTTTTTCCTTCACTTCAAAGCAGTATGCTAACAGCTTCCCAACTATTTGATTCTATGAACAGTAAGGGCTTAAATAACTTGGCCTGCTTAGAAGGAGAACAGATAAATCAAAGTCAGAGCTAAAGAGTAAATAATTGACCAAGAAAGTAACTTGCCCAGAACAGCAGTGTGTGATTAGAGACGCAAAGTTAATGAGGTTTCCAGGGACTTTCAGAGAGCTTGAGGTTTTCGGAAATTTCTTCTCGAGTTGTGAATGGCTTAATCTTTTCAGTTAGTGCACAATTAAGTCAGTTACATAGAAGATTAATGGATTGCAGCATAGAAGCATGAGTAGCACTAGAAAATGTAATTAACATTACATCAATGGACAGCAAAATAATGGCAAAGACTTCTTAGGTTTCATAAAGTCAGAAACTACCATAGACAAAGTAATCTGGGTTCATTTTGCAGTTATAAGAGAGACCAACATTGAAAGTAAATGGAGATCTGTTACGTTACCTGGGTCCACATGTGCCTTATGCCTATTTTCTCTCTTACCTCTTCTTCTCCCTCTTCTTGATACTGCTCATCCACATTATCTTCTTGCTGGTCAGGATTTCCTGCCATCTGCAGAGACATTATGTGAAAATTTAGTTCTGTAAGCTTGCTTATTAATTTTACAACACTGTGGGTTAAAGGTACCTGTTCTGGAACTAAAAACTATGCCAAGGTAAAGTAACAATAATAGCATAAGAAATCAGTGTGTTCATTAGCATTACTGTTAGCCTGGCTACACAAAATTTAGAACTGCTTTAAATTTAAAAAAAAATAGAAGCAGAATGATTATAATAAAATTATTTAACAGAATAACACAAGATTTTCATACTAAGCAGGAGATGATGAAATATTCACACCATTAAAGACCAATGCCATAAAAATACAGATTATCTCTGCCTAGAGTAGTTTACAGTTTAAACACAACTCAAGTGTGCAGAATTTGCTGGAATGCCATTAGAAGGAAACTGCACTGCACTGTTTGCAGTTGATTGACAGCTGATGGCACGGAAACAGTATAGATGGCATCTGAGCACAGACAGGAGAGTGGTAAATGAACGGGTGTTCTTGTATGGGGTTGTGTGAAGGCAAATAGAGGGACCCCAAATTATGAGACTACAGAACCTTGCTGAGAAGAGTCAATGATTAAAGACATAGCAGCGCATCACCAGGAGTAGTTCTGTACTTTTACCTGTGCGTGTTATATATGGTTTAAAAAGAGGCCTTTGAAATAAGAGTTTGGTGCTCTTACATCAAGATGTGCTATATTGTCCTTAAAGGGCACCTACGGATGCTTTCTTTCACTATACTGACCACTAGGTGCTCCTCCATTCCCGGATGCCCCTGCTCCTGATTGTTTTCTTTGTGCTTTTCATTTTCATCTGGTAGATTTTCCTCTCTCTCTTGCTCAGCTTCCTCAAATTCATCTTCTCCCTGATTGTTAGGGTCATCAGCAGGGTTCACATCTTCCATTGCTGCTTTCTGCAATTTTCAGGAGTGAGTGTTAAATGCACATTTTTATCTCACAGTCCAATTCCATTTCACTCAAAAGCTACCCTAGCAAGAGCTATGTTAGGGCCAACTCAATACTCACTGAAACCTCTCATCAGGCATCAGTGCTCACTAGATCAAAACTCAGTCAGCATAAAAGTACCAGTTCCTGAAAGAAAAAGTACTTCAGGACTGAACGCAGAACTTTAATATGGACATCAGTCTACTGAAAACTGTCTTGAAGTTGTTGACTTATTTCACATAGGACATTGAACTCCTTTTGCTTACTGACTATCCAACAAGTGACAATGCATTATAAGACCAAGTTTAAGGAAAAAAAAAAAAATTAATGCACACAGCTCAAAAGCGCTGAGATGATCTTTCAGGGCCTGTCCATCCTGCAATATTGACCTCTTCTACATGTATAACAGCATGAAGGAAAAAGCCTCTTAAAAATAACTGCTATTCAACTTAATTTGGGGGAAAAAAAAATCTCCCAAACACCCTCTACCACATCTGCCTTAGAAGATATATTCTATGTTCCGTGACACCAAATAAGATGTGGAAAGTACAGAACTGAGCATCCAGATCTCTGAGCAATCCATACCACAGCTCTGTATGTTCAGTGCTGAAGTATTTTTTCTTTAAGGAACTGCAACTTCTTCTAAACTAACTAAGTTTTGACCTAGTGACCACCAATGCCTGTGGAAAACTTCCAGACAGTTTCAGTGGGCATCTCTGGTGTTGAGTTGGCTCTTACCTGCTTTCCTATGATAGCATGAAAAATATACCATCACCGCTACTACTTTTGACTGACCACCAATGAGTTACTTGTGCCTTTTTTGAATCCAAATTTCCCTCTTCAGGTTCCAGCTAAGTCAAAAATCCTTTATTACACCCAAAGAACAGATCCAAGGATAGTAACGTAACTTGCTTCTAACAATAATACTCTTCTTCATTTCTTCCTAAACCAGTAAGGACAAGGTCCTAAACACAGTTTTAAATTGTCAGATTTGTCTTCCTAGCAGACCCCTGGCTCACCTTATTTTTGTAAAATGTAATAATGTTAGATGAGACTTCTACGTTTTAACTTCAGCAGCAACTGCAATTCATAGCCTCTTAATGCATACTCACCGATTCATCGGCCTGCTGATTTTCTACTTGATGTTCTGGTTCTTGCTGTTCATTTGCATTATTTTGATCATCATCTTCACCTTCATCCTGGTGCTGGTTGTCATGTTCATAAGCTGAAAAATTTTTATTATTAGTATTTGTGTTACAGCAGTTTCTAGACACGCCTTTCAAGAAATGGTCTCCTATATACTAGTTGCTGCATATGTTTTTAGCAGTAGGCAGCTCTTCCCCAAAAAGCTTATCTTAAAAAAAAAAAAAAAAAAAAAAAATAGCTAAGAGAATTATTTTATCAGTAGGAAGCCAATACAGAAAGATTATATAATTTCAAGAGATCAAACAAAGTCACAGGCAGAGCCAGGAATGTAATCAAGATCCACCACGTCCAATATTAGTCGCTTATTCAGTAGGGCACTTTTCCTTTCAGGAACGTGGGTATAACCATTATCAATAGCTGTATTTTAGTACTGGCTGAGTTGTCAGTCTGTCTGAACTTTTGGCTTTAAAATGAGTTTACATTTCACTTGAATCCAAACTGGATGTGAAGTGAACATTAAACTCTAGCACGAAAGGCAACAGAGGGAACCTGTGAACACAGTAGGGTCATAACAAATTATCTTACCTCCTTCTTCTTCCTGAACACCTTGCTCTTCTTCCCCTTGTACAATATCATGGTCCATGTTACCATAACGACCTTGTTGGCTGAAAAAATTAAATGTAAATAGGTCATTTCAGTTTCAGAGCATTCTTGCTTCAAGAAACAAAGCGCCCTAGCGCATCTGCCCCTCTTCCAGCTCCTGCCAGAACGGTTCCAAGTTAGCTTTCTATTTATTACCTAATATTTTCTCCCCATCAACTTTCCTGAAAGAAAATAGGCTTTGTAGAACAAGACTCTTGTTCAGTATACTGTACTAACTTCTGCATTTGTATTTCTCGATGTATCAAAATGGAAGATAACATCTGCCTTGTATTTTCAAAACTCTTAAGCTAGTATGTTTCATATTTAAAGCACAAATACTAAGAATTGGAAGCAAAGAACACAGTAATGTTTCAAGTAAAAGGTCTTACAAGACAGACGACATGGATCAATTATTTTGCTGAAAGAGCAATTTCAGCTTTGATCCTGAAAGGGGTTTACTTGTGTGATTATTCTCAAAGTACTGAAGATTTTGATTGTAGTAATTTATAAAAAAACTTTCCAGTACCGAAACTCTTTTCAAAATATAGGTCATGTTAATCATTCTCTACTAATATTTCAAAAAAGAACATTCAATAGGCTTAAGCTTCCAAAAAAGAAGTAGAATTGTCATTCACAACTTTAAACTAAGCAAAAGCATAATGGATTACTATAGGGAGGGCAAGAGGCAGGTGGAAACTACAATATTATGAATATAGCTGCATTCATAGTAACTTCATGATGCCAATAGGACGTTGTTTTTTCATGAAGTCATGCTGTTGTCTCTGCAATGCAAGTAATACTAGTCACTCTTGTTCACAAAGCCCTCAAGGAATTACTTAAAAATAGTATCTCATTTATGAGAAATTTTAGCCTAAGGATCTAATGCAAAGCTAATACTAGAACTCATCAGTACTGCAGGATCATAACTGCTGCTTGGTGGAGAAAAATCGCTAACTGAAATCAAGCTGTAAGACAAGGAACATTTTGGTCAAGGAGGCTAGGAGCTCCTAACCTCTCCCAGAGATGTGCATAGCAGTGTGCACTCCTATCAGTACTCTGGACTTCAGAGGCTTCCATAGAAAAAGAAAAAGAAGAGAAGGAAAAAGCTTAAAATAGGAAGTCAGATTTATCTTTGGAAAGGAGCAGATGAGGCACTGTGACTTCATTTTCTAGGTAACCTAGGTTTATAACATTAAACTACCCTCTTTTCAATAGCGGTATGATGAAACCAGAAGACCCAGTGCACAGACCACAACAGACTCATTTAAAAGAGGTTAACCTTAGCTGTTTTTTATAGAGTTTTTCTCCTTGTTCTGCCTGCTTCTGCAGCTGAAGCTCTTTTTCTTGAAGCTGCTGCTGCCGTAACAGCTGTCCTCGCAGTCTTTGTTGGTGTAATGATTCCTGATGCTCTCTTAGCTGATTGGCTTCCTCTGCTCTTTGGGCTGCAAGATGCTGCTGCTCCAGCTGTTGTTCATAAGCTGGCTTGTGTCTTTTTGTTACAGCTTTCGTTAAAGTTGTCTGTCAGAGAAATGTGTTTAGTCATAAATCAATCAATATTTCAGTGACCAGAAACAAGCATGCACAAACCAGGGATACCAAAAATAAGAGGGAAAATTATGCAGAGGCTACATGCAATAGGGAAAACTTACCAGTAAAGGTATTTTAACTTTAAGAAAGTTCACTTAAAGTTTTCTCCTTGCTTAACACAGCCTTCCAAAGTTTTGATGTTCGGATGGTCAACAATTAGACACCCAATATGCTTCCTTTGATTTAACCGGCCGTTTCAGCAGGGGCTGCTTTGAGCCTTAAGTGAGGCACTACACATTCTTTACCGCTAGCAATAACTTAACCTGTAGCTTGCGTATCACAGCCTAACCTGGCCCCTGCTGGTATAGCACACTTCTTGAACAATGGCTTCTCATCACATTGGAATTACATGGTTATTCTGCTAGTTCAAAAGACCTAAGGTGAGGCCCCTAAAATACACTTTCCGCTACCAATCCAATTTAGAATGTAAATCCAGGACTTGTCGGTTCTGTTTAGAGCAGCATAGAGCAAGACTTGCCTTTGCCGACTTCCCTTGGCTCTTTTACACATACTCATCTGGTAGTTAGAATTCCCTGTCAAATGACAGTGGACGCTTCGATGGAAAAATGTTGTGGAAGGTAGGTGTTTTTGAATGGAAAGCATCCAACAATTTGCTGGGGTGCATCAAATTAACAAGGCAGGACAGCTCTCCATAAAAGTGCTGAACACAAGTCCCATTCTCATCAGCTATTTTCTTCCCATCAGTTACCACAGAACTCAGACTTCGAGTAGGAGGTGGGATTCAGGCTGGCTGCTCTTTTTTCCATCTGTTGCTTTTTATCAGCAGAATTAATGTTTCTTAAATAGCTCTATTTGGCAAGCACTGAAGTAAGCATGTGCCAAAGTTTAGCCCGAGCCTTATGCATCTAAGTGTTGTGCTTTGAATCCCAAACTTGCTGTAAACATGATACTAATTTTATCTATAGGTGAGTTCAGCACAGGGCCAGCAATGGTCAGAGGTGCCTCCATGTAAACAGCAAATCTAATAAATCAGTAGGAAAGAAAACAACTCCATACCTCTGAATGGAAATGTTCACCCAACATATTGGTTTCTTCTTCTTTCTGTTCCTGTTTTTTCCACTCAGGTTCTTCTGGCACTTGATCCTGTTCCTCCTCTAAGTGCTCAGGCTGACCCGCCTGCTCCATTTCTTCCTCTTCAAGTTCTTTTTTACGTTCCTCTTCAACTCGATCGACATGTTGCTCTTCATCCTCTCCTGCTTCTTTTTGCTCCTGAATATTTAGTTCTTTGGCATGCTGGCCCTCATTAGTCCCTCTCCTCAGATGAGGAGGCTCAGCTCTATCTTCTTTCACCCGGGTATTTATTTCTTCTCTCCCTTTTGGCTTCTCATTCTGCAAAACATGTGCAAGATCAAAAATCCTATAGATTCTATGTTCTAAAGAGAGCTAAGGACCAGGTGCAGGTACCTTTATTCCAGCTGAGTACAATTTTACCACTGCAAGGAAAGCCAAAGGCCTGCTTTGGAACAAGATATCTTTTCTGCCAAGAGATAACAACATCTGACTCTTGGCCCTGTACAACTAAGTAACATGTTGCACAATTGCATCATAAAATAATCTAAGCCTCTTGTTATCTGAAGTGGAACAAAACTATTACAACTCTATCTACGAAGTGTGCTTTGTCAGGTTTTATTGGCTAAGAACTCTCGTAAAACAAAAGTACAACTGACATTGTAACTGCTAGACTTTACACACAGTTTTTTTTTCTTTTTGTGCATCAGATAAAATTAAATAAACTTAAAATTTGATTATTAAGAATACCATTGAAACTTCATAAAGCAAGTGAAAAGACAATTTCTTCATATCTTATTTAAGCTTTCCTATCTAGTATAGGATACCTAAACTTTTAAAGACTGTGTATCATCCTAAAGTTTAAGATTTGGGTAAGCTCTTTTAAAAAGTTGCTAAAAAACAGTCTGAAGGGCATTTACAGACATCATTAACATCATTTTTATACTGCTCAGTAACAGTAAACTGTTCCTCACTACTTTACTCAAGAACCGACAAAGGTGTACAATTAAGCACATAGTTCTAATGGGAATTAAGCACGTATCTAGTATTTCGCTGAATGAGAATGGTTTCCTATTGCTTCAGTAGCCAGTCAGTCAGTACTTTATACCTCCTCATGCTCGTCAGCCACAGCTTCATGGTGTATTGGGAGGTCACTGTGGGGAGAAGGTGCTGGCTCCTCTGGTTGATTGCGTGGTTTTTCCAACTTCTCAGGCTGTCGGAAACTTGGCATTTTGTTGAGTGTGTCCTTCAACTGTTTGTATTCTTCCACCTGGGACTAAAGTCAACACATATTAATTACATTGTACCCAAATAATCTTCTAATAAAATGCAGTCACCCCAGAATGAACTTGCTGCCAAGACAGATACCAGAAATGCTTGATACTCAGAGCACACACCAAGGTGGAGAAGGGATGTGAGGTTTTAGGACTGGTTGTTTCCATGCACTAGATAGCATTGATTCATCACAATCTTTTCAGCCAAGGTGCGCATGCATACAAAGTATATTGGAAAAAACCCAAGAGACAAAGATGAAGATTTGTTTTTTTCATGCCAGGCAGGACAATTGTCAAAAGGGGATTATGCCTTTTTCTTTGTAGACTTTAAAGTAAGGGAAACTAAGAGCACCACAGCTATCTCCTTTAATGGTAGGGGAAGAATAAGGGTGGGGGGGAAAACAGTTCTTTTAGAAAAAGCAGTCAAGTTTTAAAGTGTATATACACATATAATAACATGTCATGAAAATACCAAATCTTCAACATTTAGACAGGTGTTAACACAAGACAATAATCAAGATACCGAACTGAGGGAGAGAAAGTCATAGAACACCTTCAGTGAAGAGCAGGAAAAAAGAGGAAAGCTGATATTTTTTTTTTTTTTTTTAAAGTCTTCCTAAAATGCAACAACAGGACGTTGCAATTTGATTTGCTGTTTAACTGTGTACAAGATCAGGATACTTTTAACAAGCTTTAATGACCAGTGTGAGAAGTAAGACTGGTTGCTACACATTTACAAGTCACTGTCTACACAGCAGACGAGAAGGATTATCTCAAAGTTAAATTTTTGAAACAGACAAAGTTTGCAAAAGCTGCTCAACTGATCACATACAAAAGGTGGTGCCCCATGGAAGGGGTTCTCTGCTGCTCCAGTAGGGGCAGGGGTAAAAAAGGAAAAACTAACCCAACATCCTACAGCAGGGAAAAGTAATGATTTACTACCCATTTTGAAGTCAGAGAGGTGCATTTCATATATATATATATATATTTTTTTTTTTTCTTCCCCCTAGGTTAAAAATTGGCTAAAGTTCACATTCAGTGACTGTGTAGGTCATTTTGTGTATGTTATGTGATATCATAGCAATCAATAGTACAGCAGACGGGCATGATGCATTGATGTACAATGCATAATACTCATACAAAACAATATCCACAGTCCTACAGATTGACATGATGCAATGCATGATAATAGCTCCGAAGCTAGACGCACCTCGAAGCATCTTCAAAAGACTATGACATCCATTAAAACAGACAGGCCTAAAAGCAAAGCAGAATGCAAAGTAATTACACTTGTCTTTCCAGAGGGAAAGACAACAAGCAAAACTTGAGAAAGATCCAATCCCTTAAATGCTGCTCATGATTTTGTGGACCTTGAAAACACTTGAAGGAAAAACCGAGTTGGGAATAAAAACAACTTGAAGCTGCCTTTTTGCTTTTCCTCTGTCCTTTCACTGACAATATTTCTCTGCTCCAACAGTAGTCCTAATCCTGGGTTCCCTGTGGCCTACACAACTTGTGTTGGTACAGCTGTCCAAATCTGCAATAGCCTAGCAAGAGTCAAGCTTCATATATAGTTCATTTGAAAACAACATTTAAGGTAATGCTGCTGCTCCTTTTCAGCTAATTTGAGTTTCACCTGGTTTTTACTTTCTTCCATATATACTCTGCCTCTGTTGCACTGATGTGTATAGCTTTATAAACCTTCTAGTCATATACAAAAGGAGATTTTGAGATATATATCATTATTCAGGTCTCTAAGTGATCCATCTGAGTCTCAGAGTGGGGGCATTAAACTAACAGAAGTTCTAGCAGAGAAGATAGAGAGAGAGGTATTCTGCATCTCTCATGGAGGGAGAGATACCGCTCGTATCAGTAATACATGCACACTTTGGCCTATTTTAGAGCTTTTTATTTTCTGACAGCCCTATGATTTGTTGCTGATTCTTTAAGAGCAACCCTCTAACTCATGCATTTTTCTGGAGTGCGCAGCATGGTGCTAACTGCAGATTCCCATGCGAAAGGCTACATGCATAACATTATAGTCCGCTGAACTAAGAGAAACGAATTTTAGGAAGGTTAGAGCTAATGCAAGCTGCTTTCCTTTCTGACCTGCGCAGCAGCTAGTGCACTCTTGTGGTCTTCCAATGTCACTACAAGCTGGTTGTGTTGGGAGAGTAAATTCTTATGCTGTTGCTACACAAAAAGAAGAACGTTATACGTTTCACATTAAGTTCATTCTAAAGGCAAATTCAGTAGCCTGTGAGGTTCTTGAACTTTGAAGATATAATTCAGTTTATTTCAGAAACGAAAATTCTGAGGTGGAGTTACAGTTTTTAAGATATTTAGCAAGGAATGCATACTAAAAGCAACTTAGAGAAAGTGAGCAATTCAAGCCAACAAAATTTAAAAGGCCAGAATGTCTATACCTGAAGTTAGAAGTTTGAGTAGAAGTTAATAAATGTTTAAAATGATAGAGATGTAAACCATTTATTTTGACAAACTTCGTTCTGGCCTTTTTTTTTTTTTTTTTAAAATTTGTAAAGTCTGTTTTCCAATTCATATACGAAATACTCCTCTGATTTAGGCTTTTTGCGGGGAGGAGGGGAGAGGAGGGCAATTAACTAGAACGCAAGTGGCAAAAGACAGGAAATCCAGTTAAGCCATACTCCTCTCCTTTTTTACCACAACAGAAAAAAAAATGCAAGTTTTTGTCATAGCTCACCTCCAGCTTGTTAAAGCTTGAACTTTTTAAGACGATCGGGGGGAAAAAAAATTGCCCTACTTCTTCGAAGCAAAGCCTACCTTGACATCTTGTAGCTGGGTATGAATGTCTTGGTGAGCTTTTCTCAGCTGTCTGTTCTCTTCTCGTAAGTTATACAGGGATTCTGTTTAAAAGAAATGACATACAGGAACTGAACCTCAGTCAGACTGTTAACGCTAGGTAAGTCACCAAAACTAAGATTACAATACCAACTGCATAAGATACTACACGATTGCTACAGTAAAAACAGATCAGAGTAATTGCAGAGTTTGTTTACGTTATCTCTCTCACCCGCTCTGTAAAGAGCCTTACATTTGCAATGAGAAGATTGTGAAATTCAGTTAAATTTTAGCTTGGTGCACCCAGTCTGCAACTGGAATTATGTGTTCTTGTTCATGCTGGGGACCGCAGATGGCAAAATTCATTATGTTAATCTGAAACTTTAAAATGCAGAGAGGAAGCCACCCTTTTCTCTTCCCTCTTCCCCCACGCTGCATCTGGCAAGTGAGAATCCTGTTCTGTAGGACTAAGCAACTCTCATAGAGGCAGTATCCAGATGGCCAGCATACTTAAAAAGCTTTACGTTCTGGGATCGGGGAGAGGGGCTTCTCTTCCCACCTCTTACATTACGTTGATATGGAATAGCGCAAGCAGACACAAGCAAGCTCTGCCCACACTCCAAGCTGGTAGGCTGCAATCCAGCTCAGTCCAAGAGCTAGCTGGGTGATTGCACTGGTGTGGTGCCAAGTCAGAATGAATACACACAGCCTTTGCCTGCAAAATACAGCGCTACAAATCTGCACACAGCTCCACAACTAACTAATGTGTTGGTGACACAAGGCAGAAAGTGACAAAAGGCCCTAGATGGAGAAAGCCTCGCCCTTTTGTTCTATGCAATTGTACAACTAGGATTAAAAATTTCTGTATACTGTAAAGAACCTCTTTAAAAGGAAATCAGATGCTAGGAGGAAAAAAATGAATTTATATTTCATCCTCAAAGTAAACTGATGTAACATGTTTCAGAGGGAAAAAAACAGAGGGAAAGCAAGGTATAACACATATGTAAAGTCACTTCATATAGATTTAATTTTAACTGTGACTCTTTAACAGCGATGGCAAACATTCTTAGGAGTTTCCCGCCCCCCCCTCCTCCCCACAAACGAAAGGCAGAGGCGGAAACCTATTTTTCTACTGTTTAAATAAGTTTTAGAGCTTAAAATGAAAGGCAGAATAAACCAAACTCCCAGATTTGACAGGCTTAAGAGTTATATTTCTTATTACTTCTCTAATCTAAATAGAAATACAAAGCACATATTTGAAAGTACAATAATGAGATTTCAGAAAGAGAGGCCACAGAAAATCATCGTAAAACGTAACTTATTA